ATGGGTGGTGATGAAGGTGGTGGAGGGTGTTGAATGAGGTGGAGGGTGATTGGTGAGGTGAAATGAGGTGAAAGGGGAGGTTTGGGTCGGGTTTGGATCTCAACGACCAAGTGCCGCGGTCAAGGGATGCACGACCGTGGCAAACCATTGCTTGGTCGCGGTCAGGATCACGCGACCGCGGCCGACGGTAGGTTTCCCGCGGTCCAAACACTTGCGACCACGGGGGCTTATATCGCGGCCTCTTCCTGCTTCTCCTTGGTTCCTGCTGGGCCGAGCAGTCAGGTACCATCCTTCTTTTTGGTTTTTTCTGGTTTTTTGATTTTTTTGGCTTTTTTTGTTTTATAAGAAACACCTGAAACTAAGAAAAAGGAAAAAGATCAAAAGAAAAAGAAAGAAAAATCTTAAAGAAAACAATACCTAAATGGGTTGCCTCCCATTAAGCGCTTTTGTTTTAAGTCGTTTAGCTCGACTTTTGGTGTTGGACGTGACTTATTCCAATGAAGAAGACATTGTCCTGAGACAAGTCTTTTTCGACATCTCCTTGCTTTGCTTAGCAGGTTCTCCGTCACTCCAAAGTTCTTCTTCAAACTCTTCTGCTGCAGAACGTTTTCCTGCTTTGCTGTTGTATGGAACAGCTTCTGTGAAGACATCTTTGTCGATATTAGCAAATGAAATCCTCCGGTTTGGCCAGTCCATTATAGCTCCAGAAGTTGCTAGAAAAGACCATCCCAGAATCACTGGATATGTTGCATCTCTCGTTTCGACAATGTAGAAGTCGACAGGCACTATGCAATCTCTTATTCTCAAAGGAATTTCATGAGCTATTCCTTGAGGTGTTGTATTTGAATCATCAGCTAAGCTAATCTTTGCTCTAGTCCTGCGCAGGTGTTTAATACCAAGTCTCAAAGCAATTGCCTTGGACATCATGTTAAGACAAGCTCCAGAATCACATAGCACATTTTTAAACATTTCTCCTCTAATAGAACAAGAGATAAGAAACTGACCTGCAGTCTTGACCTTATGGAGAATACGAACTTGCCTTTCTCTGTAGGTGTTGGCTGGTGTCTCGAACGCAGAATAGGATTCACAAAAGAAAGCTGCAGCATCATATTCAATGATTGAATCGATGTATGGAATCTTTATCACTCTGCATGTCTGGTCTTCTTGGATTGAAGAGTCAGCTGAATCTTCAACACATTCCTTTGCCATCATACAAGGTAATGATTCATGCCAATCTGGTTCTTCATCTGAAACTTGGTTTTCTTCTTCCTGAGTTGCTTTTTTAGGTGCTGGAGGCTGAAGTTGGGACAGGAGATGTATTATTTTCCTCTCAAAACCTGGAGGAGCATCTGAACGACCAACTCCCGCGGTCAGAGGGGTCGCGACCACGGGAAACAGGGCTTTGGCCGCGGTCGGAACACTTGGACCAGCGGCCCCGGATGTAAACTGCTCGTAGTCCGTCTCTTCCTTCTTGTACTTGATACAAACCTCTCCAGTTTCTTTATTGGGTAGACTAGCATCATATGAACTCATACCAGGGCGTTGTTGTGCATCTTCATCAGAATCTTTGGGAGATTTCTTAGAAAACCTCTCAAATTGCTCAATGTTGGGCATCTGCTCCATTCTTGCATCAATCTCCCGTGCTTTGAGCTCGAGTTTGTTCAGCCTGTGCTCGATCTCTTGCAACTCTTTGTCTGTCTTCTCTCTATACCAGGAGGCAAATTCTCTGACTTCTTTAATCTCCTGTTTTGATTCGACAATATCACTTGAGTTTTGTATGATGTCATACCCTTGTCTTGTCTGCTCTGTTGCGACCTGTTGGATCATCCCAGCTAGTGTTTGTGAGTCCTTGTGGGTTTGCTCTTCCAAAACTCGAACATGGTTGGCCATATCATCGAATTTTCTGTTGAACTCTTCAGAGATTGAATCAATTTTCTTGAGCAGGGTGTTTTCGGTGAGAATCTGCTGATCAAGGAATTGGTTTATCATCCCTTCGAGGCGTCCCAAACGTCTGCTGATCCTCAAGTTATCCTCTTGCTGACTAGGGTTCTGAAGTGGAGGATTATAGGCGTGTGGCTCGAAGTAGATTGGAGGAAGGCCATAAGGATCTTCCCGGCGTCGAACAGTCTCTCTGTGCCGGTGGTAAGGGTGGATTGGCTGGCTGTATCGATCCATGTAGCTAAATTTTCGGGCTTGGTGTTCTTCTCTGCGTCTCGTGGCTTGAGGAGTGTTATAGAAACCTTCCTCATTTTGTATATTTCGATTTATAGGATCCATATCTTCTGAAATGGAAACAAAATAACCGAAAAATGGAAAGTTGCAGAAAAGGGGTTCTAGAGTCGATTTACTAACCTTTCTCGGGGTTTTGCAGAAAAGAAAACGCGTGCCTTCCCCGGCAACGGCGCCAAAAACTTGATGTGTGCTGTCGTGTGTTGAGAGGGTTGTCAAGTTTTACCCTAATTGAAATCAATAGCCGCAAGTGCACAGCTGATCAATAGTAGTACTTAGGGATCGAATCCACAGGGAAAGAGGATCTTTTTGTGCAAAAATCATTTGAAATAAGTTAAAGTAAGGAAGTCTAGAACAAAAACGGTTTAGTGGGGGTTTGGTAGTGTGTTTAAAATCTAAAAACAAAATATTAAAAGAGAATACGGGAATTAAATGACGTAATAACTAAACTTAACGAAAGTAACTAAAAATGATAAAAGCGGATATTCTAATGCTTAAATGAAAATGAACTAAAAAGGAAAGACAATATTGAACTAAAGCTTAAAAGAAAATCGGTGTAAATCAATAAGGAAGAAGGCGTTGGGGTTCAGGGAAGTTTTTTTCTCAGGGGTACGAACGATTCAAAACATTGCTAGAGAGTAAAATTGATAAGATTTTAGCTTAAACTTTTCGAACTGGAGTCACGGACGTATGAATACGCCACTGTTGTGATCATAGACAACTATCTCTCTAAACCCTGACCTGTAGGTTTCCACTTTGGCCCTGGAAGAGAAGAGATGCATTATGTTTAAGACTCGTCCTAATTCACAAATCGCCCATAGGTAGGTTTCCACTCCTATGTTTGTTTTGCTCTCCCAAACTAGATCTGATACCTGATGAACACTTTCGTGTCACCAAGCATCTGGATCAGATTGTAGTTCATGACGCTACTCTCATGCAGTAAAAACAAATTCAGAAGAAAAAGTTCTAAGATTCGACTCAAAAGCTCATGGAATCCTCATCGAACATATAAATCCCCATCGAAAATCCCTTAATCCCAACAATAAAACTACTCAGACATAATGAACGAAATCAAAGACATAATATTAATAAGTATAATAGAAACCGAAATTGAAAAAGAAAGAACAAGGGTTCAAGAGAACAAATCTCTCTCTCCCTAAAAGCTAAAGCAAAAACAATAAGAATATGAAGTAAGTATTTCGGTGGTGATCCGTTCTCTTCGGTTAGGGTTCCTAATACATGTATTTATAGTACTCAAGACCTCTCTGGACGTCACTTAGGGTTTCTCCAAATGTGGGCTTCAGAAATGGGCTTTTTGGGCTCGGGGGTTGATGGCTGCGGTCGGAAGGGCTCTGACCGCGGGGAATGTATGGTTTGCCGCGGTCGGGATGCTCCTGACCGCGGGAAAATGCTTGTTGGCCGCAGGTGGAAGTGCTTGCCGGCTGGTTTACGGGACATCTTGCTCTTCGCGTATCTTTTGATTGAACCGTTGGATTGCCAAGCTGTAAAGTTCACTGGAAAGCTGATACTTCCATCTTTAAGGTCTCCAAATTTGAGCTGGATCAGACGGTGAGAAGGCCTTCAATCAGGGGTGAACTTCTGACGGTTTGACTCTGAGCTGAAATCTGGTTTTCTATCCGTTTTGTTAAGCTTTTCCTTAAGTTACCTGAAAAGAGTCTTGGAACTATAAATACTAGAAAAACATAATAAAAGTACTTAAAAGCAAATAAAAACATAGAAAAAGTATTTCAAAACGATCCATAAAAGTGGTCAAAATACGGTGTTATCAAGTATCCGCAGAACGATGCTGACACAAGATAGTAAAACAAATGGTAAAATGATCAAGGATAGCCATGACATGCTCGAAGAGGAACAAGATCGCGCCTTACTACGGATGCAAAATTATCAGCAGCAGGTCGCTCGTTACTACAACAAACGGTTTAGAGGAAGACACTTTGAAACTGGCGACTTCGTCCTTTGCAAAGTATTCGACAATACTCAGGAAGATGGAGCCGGAAAATTGGGCGCGAACTGGGAAGGCCCCTATCAAATCACCAAGGTAGTCAAGCCGGGCGTTTACGAACTTATGACTATGGACGGCGAGATGATACCTCGATCATGGAACTCGATGAACATCAAGCGATATTACTATTAGCTACAAAAAAAAAGACGCTTACCGAGCTATACTTGGTCGAGCTTGATCTCGAATGTGAACTATGATCGGCTTGATCCCAATTTGTTGGATACGTAGGCAACCTCTTACGAGGTACAACTATGAATAAAATTTACTTTTTACCAACTCTTTCTTCGACATCTTTTACATCGACATCCTAGCTAGATGTTCGATCTCCAAATACGCATTTCCCTACAATGCAATTTCTTAATAAATCCTAAGGAACAAAAACATGACGATTATAAGAAAATAAGACGGGACCAGTCCTGCATCCTTTCTTAAATCACCCGAATAATTACGTCAAGAACACTCTCACTATTCGGACACGATTAATGAAATAAAACAGTATAAGCCGAGTTCTACCTCGCACCTATCGTCCTATTACGCCGAGTTTTACCTTGCACATATTGTTCTACTAAGCTAAGTTTTACTTCGCATCTGTTGCTCTATGACGGTTTAAAACAGTGGAAATTTTCGAGCGAGTTATAAAATAATTTTCATTAAAAAAAAAAGCAAGGTGGGAAATATTACAGACGAGTCCAAAAAGACAACAGACAAAGAAAACGAGATACAACAACAAAGAAAACGAGGTTTATCCCTAAGACTGAGCATCGCCTTCGAGATCTTCTCGATGCTCATCATCATCGCTGTGCGAGCCGCCATTTGGGGTGTCAGGAAAAGGCGGGGGTAAGTCACCCTCCTCAAGATCGGCTAGACTGAGGTTTTCCAGCTTCAGTTCGCAGTCGCACTTCGTCGCTTCGAGTTCGGCTCTCAGCTCCGCTTCAGTCATCTCTTTCTCCTTCAAAAGATCGAGGCATTCCAGGGTACCTCGAGCAACGAGATCAAGCTTCACCCGCTCGATCGCCTCTTGTTCCGCGACGCGAGTCCTCAGCCGGTCGATGCGACCCAAATACTTAGCCTCAGCCTCCACCCAGATTCGAGTGGTTTCCATCTCGATATTCTCCTCAGCATGTCGCTTTGCTCGAGCGACCTCGGTAGCGATCGACTTCTCGGCTAGGATCTTTGCCTCGTTAACCGATTGAAGATTCTTGACTAAGTCTAGATTCTCCAGTCTCATCGCCTCGATCTTCTCGGTCAACTCCTTTACCCCGGCATCCTGCTGCTCCGCCCTTCTTTTCATGGTTTGCCAATTATCTTCGGCAACCCTCCGCTGAGCAATAGTGGCATCACGCTCGTTCACTGCCTTCTGACCGGCAGCCTGGGTATTTTTCAGCCGAGTAGCAGCGTTCCGAAGCCAGCGCATGTATTGCCCCCTCGTGCGATTGCAGCTCGCAATGAACTGAACAAAAATGAAAGGAACCACCTCAGTCGAGCTCACCGATCATCAAAATACAGACGAAAGTATAGAATAGGGATTACGAACATACCTTGAAGGCGAAGCTCACCATATCTTTAAAAGCCCCGTCGGAGCTAGCAAGGACTTCAGCGGTAGATCCCCTTATCATCTCGAATAACTCAGCACATTTGTCGATGTTGTTGACAAATGGTTCGCTCGATTTGGGATACTCGAACGAAAAAATCCAATCGATTTCCTTGGCTTTATCATCACCAAATGGATCGAATTTTGTTTGTTTGCTCGCCTCTTCGCTGCCGACTTGATCACCATCATTGTTCTCTCCTGAAGGCTTCTTCCTTTTCCCTTTCGCCTTAGCCTTGGTGACCTCCTCTTCCTCTTTAGCAAGGCGAGCAGCCTCGACTTCCTCCTTCTCCTTCTGCTTCTTGCTCTTCTTCTTCCTTTGCTTCTTCTCTTCTCGCCTCGCCGATTGCGTGGCTTCCTCAACTTCGTCATCTGTTTGGCGAGGTTCCACTTGATTCTCCGTATCGAGTTCAGGATCATGCTCAGCGATCTGAGTCGCAATCTCACCTTCAGCAACAGACTCGAGGTTTGCATCTCGTTGAGGATCTACCTCAGTCTCCTCTTGAACCACTGTCGCCTGATCTGTACGCTCAGACCGAGAAGGAGAAGGGCCCTGATCTTTGCTTCCACCCTTTTTAGCCTTGAGCCTTGTGGCAAGGCTAGGTGCGTTCACTTGAGTCGGAGCCATCTCTATCGATCTCTCCCTTTGAAGGTTTTCTCTTCTCCAACTAGCTGAAACAAAGCAATACGTCAGACGATGTTAGCTATAGGAAAATGCTGATGACGTCGGACCTACCGTTTGTAATGCGAGTAATGGCGGCTTCGACTCTTCGGCGATGTATTTCAGGCCAATGCCGTATTCCAACAGCCCTAATCTTCTGAAGATTTTCGTGGTAGTTTTCTGGATACGCACCGAGCTGAACGTTCCGATCTGCAGAAGGAAAAAGAAATATCAGCAAAGGGTAAAGGAAAACTCTAAACACGACCAGACTAGCGATCTACAGATGCTTCTGCTCCACTCGTTCCTAAAATCTCTGGTCATGTCGACGACTAACGCTTCGTCAACTTTCGCGTAAAAGAATGACGCCTCCCAACTTGGTGTTCTATTGACAGGATAGACAAGGGAGCAATCCTTTCTGGCCTTAATCGTGTAGGTGCCCGAGATCAAGTTTTTTTTCTGGACGGTAGTCATTTCCTCGAAGAAACGCCAGTCGATGTTGACCCCGACCTCGCTCCCAAATAAAAGAGCCGCGACCATGAAACGGATCCCCGCTGAAAGGATTTACGAGAAGGCGATTTGTCGCCGATCGACGTAGTCTGTTAGCAACCTCGGCAGAGGCACCCAGAGATGACACAGACTAAACCATGCCTCGTAAAGCGTGATCCAGCCTTTCAGAGCTTTCCATGGTCGATCTTCGGGACCTGGCGCTCTTATTTCGCCGCGAAAGCCATATCGTGATCGCATCTCTTCCAGGCGTTGAGCCGTCATCTGAGACGGAATATTGACTAAGCGATTCTTAATAGCTCCCTTGCGTTTGGAACCTTTCCTACGAGGTCTGACTTGTTCGGCTTGTTCATCTTCCTCCTCACCACCCTCATCGACCTCTTCTTCGGTTTGTTCCTTGGCCTCGCCATCACGTGGATTTTCCTCGAGAGCAACTATTTGAAGACTCGTGGTTTTGCCTCGCGGAGATGCTCCATCAGAACGAACCCGGTCCGTCAATTCAACCAGCGACGATTCTTCTCGCTCTGATTGAGTGTCGGACCTCGAAGATATCTCGGGAGAGGAGCTTGCGTTCCCAGAAGTTTCCTGGTCAGAACCAGAACCAGACTCCAAGCTCGACTCGATGCGTTGCTTCCCCAAAGCCATCACTCGATGTCATGACGTGATCGGAAAAACGTGATTGGAGAAATCGAACCACAGAAAGAGAGACGGAGACGGCGGAGAAGATAAATTCTAGAAAGAGAAAGAAAAACTCTAGAGAGAAGGCAGAGCAAAGTTATCTTTTTATCAACGGAGAAGAAAATGAGAAGAAGAGAAGGAGAGCAGAATATATAAAGGAAAGAGTAGCGGTTACCGAGGAGAGTAATGATCACCCGGACGCGTCCCAGTATTTTATTTAAATGCGGATTCCACGTGTTTCCCGAAAATTAGGTTTCCACTCGTGACTCTTCGTTTCTCGAGTTGACCGCTATTCGCGACTCTTCGTTAGTAGCATTAACGATTATACGCAACGCTCCAACTCCCAAGTATCACCTCGATTCCGAGAACCCCGCAATTGACATCGAGGTCCCGAGAATCGGAAGATCCCAATTCGATGCGTTGAATATCGAAGTAACATCTCTATCAACGGACTGGGGGGGACAATTGTTGTAGGTGGGCTGAGCACAGCCCCCTTTTGGTAATTTCGATCAGGCCCGTTAGCTAATTGATGAAGCCCAACGAAATCAAGGGTCGCTAAGGGCCCATTCGACGATCCAAAACGAGGACGTTCAAGAGACGGGCTTATGAGTTTAAGGAGCAGCTCACCACGTCGACATGAGTGAAACAGCTCGCCCGCACGACACCCAGATAGACGGTCGGTCAGGTCTACCTGCCCGGCCGTCCAATCTACTCTGACCGAAATATAACCTAATCTCAACACTATAAATAGCCCTGTAACTTCATTTATTACGGGATTCGTAATCTGAAATAAAGAGTAAGAGCTCGACACTTGCGAATACAGAACTACATACTCTCACCTCGATCAAAAGACCTCGCTTAAGTACATTATATCGAGCTCGACTCTATTTAACAAGAATCTCCGAACTGCCCTCAACAATATTTACCAAATTAACCTCGCGTGCTTATACGAACAAACAGAAACCTATTGAAAAAACACTCAGATTGGAATTTCAGAGAAAATTAGTCTCACCAAACAGAGCATATCTCTTGAAGGCAGAAAGCAGACTTGAGGAAGAGCAAAATATGAAGAAGATAAGCTCAAACTTTCATTCTTATTTCTTAACAGAGAGAATTACTAAGTCTCAACAAACAGCGCATGGCAGAACACCAGAATAATATCTCACAGTAAGTGTACGTATGCACGAAAGATCCATGAAAAGAGTGAGATTATTATAGGTTTGAACGCTGCGTTTAGCTCTGAGGTGATTCTGAAGGCGATTAGGGTTAGGTTTTCCTTAGTCATCAAGCTAGCTCACCGGCGCCGCTATGGCTGCCCCGGCATCCCCGGAGCCTCCTGGAGAACCTCCAGCGTCCCAACCGTCAACCAAGCAACCAGTCTCTTTTGCGTCAGTAGTCCAAAATAAGCATGTTCTCACGAAGTATGATCTGCAAATTTCAAACACGGAGGGTCAGAGATCTGTGGAAATCCCTGATGAAGTATTCGTAAACCCATCCCCCTTGTGGGAAGATTTTGTCATTGGTCGGTTCCTGTCGGCGGCACCGCATGTCGCTAAAGTTCACGTTATCATCAACAAAATTTGGTCGCAAGGAGAAAACTCTCACAAAGTTGATATCCAAGTGATAAACGCAAACACAATGAAATTCCAGATTCAAAATCCTCAAATTCGATGATGGTTTCGAAGTGGATATGTGGAATATTGCGGATATCCCTATGGTGGTTTCGAAGTGGACACCGTATACAGAGGAAGACATCCCGGAACTGAAACCTATTCCAATCTGGGTGCATCTGAAAAATGTCCCGATGAATATGTTTTCCTGGAAGGGGTTGAGCTTCATTACCAGTGCGGTGGGAGAACCAAAACATCTACATCCGGAAACGGCTGCTTGCTCGACATTTGATATTGCAAAAGTGTTTGTGAACGCAGACCTCTCAAAGGAACTGCCGAAAACAATAAATTTTTCGAAGAATGGTCAAGAATCTCTGGTGGAATTCAATTATCCCTGGTTGCCTCCGAGATGTTCAACATGTGATAAGTGGGGGCATTTAGATACGTCTTGTGTAATTAACAAGAAACGAGTGGAGGGAAACAAGGAATCTGAGACTTCGGTTCAAACAGAGGAACCAGAGGTGGCGATTACTTCAGAAAGTCCAGCTGATGCTGGAGATACAGGATCTGGAGCAAAAGACAAGGTAGTAGAGAAAGTAGTAGATGTGAATTCTGAGCAGTGGACAGAAGTCTCTCCCTCTAAGGTAGGCCGAAGCCCACATAAACCAAATGTTCGGGAGGTTGAAAGCTCTCATATTTCACAAGCCAAATTCTCGATTCTGAGCTCAAATGAAGAGGAAGGGGAAATTGTGGAAACAGAAACAGAGAATTTGGAGTTGGTTCATATAACTATTCAAGAGCAAGCTCAGGCTTCTCAAGCATCGCTGCCAAGCAATCACCCCGAACTAAATCAGCAGGCTCGAAAAGAGACGACAGATAGTAGTTTACGTCCCTCTCTCCCGCGTGATTCAAAAAATAAGCACAGATTTTTAACGGAGACTTCTACCCAAGCTAATAAGGATACCCCTATGGTTATGGGAAAAAAAGTCTCTCGCAAAACTACCTGAATGTCGAGTTTCTTCTGGAATGTGCGCGGATTCAACAAAACTTTAAAACATTCCACTGTCAGAAACTGGGTGAGGGAGGCAGATATGCTTTGAATACGGTTGAGGAAAGGAAGAGTTTGTGGGCAGATCTTAGAACTCATCAAGACTCTCCAATGTTTAGGAATAAGCCTTGGTTGATTATGGGTGATTTTAATGAGACTTTGGATGATGAGGAACATTCAAATTCGGAGGTGGCTCCTGTTACAACGTCGGGAATGAGGGATTTTCAGGAAATTGTTCGATACTGTTCTTTTTCGGATCTAGGAGGGCATGGACCTCTCTTTACTTGGTGCAACAAAAGAGATGAAGGAATTGTGTGTAAAAAACTGGATAGAGTGCTCATGAATGATGCTTGGCTTTACAAATACTCTCAAGCATATAGTGTTTTTGAGGCTGGTGGTTGTTCCGATCATCTTCGGTGCAGAGTTCAGATTAATGTACAAGAAACAAAGCGGAAACGACCATTCAAATTCATGAATTCCCTTGGGAAAATGCCAGAATTTTTGCCTTTGGTGGGTGATCATTGGTCTCGTACTGATACATTATTTCACTCCACTTCAGCACTTTTCCGTTTTTCAAAGAAACTTAAAGCGTGGAAACCGGGAATAAGAGAGTTGAGCAAGCAGAAATTTGGGGGGTTGTCAGTTAGGGTAAATCAGGCGTATCAAATTCTGTGTGAGAAGCAAAGTGAAACACATCTGCAGCCAACTTCCGAAAACATTAGACAAGAAGCAGAAGCTTTAGAACGATGGCAGACAGTCGCAACGTTGGAGGAAGAATTCTATAAGCAAAAATCTAAGCTTCACTGGTTGGAGGTTGGAGATCAAAACAATAAGACATTTCACACTGCTGTTAAACTTCGGGAAACCAGGAACACGATCAGGGAAGTGCAGTGCCCAAGTGGCGAGAGAGTGAACACGCAAGAAGGTATTAAAAACGAAGCTGAGCGTTTTTTTTTCACGAGTTCCTCACACAGAAACCAAAGGATCTGCAAGAGGCTTCGGTCTCTGAGTTAGAAGACTTACTGGATTTTCGATGCTCGGCAACTGATTGCGACGTACTTGAGAAAGAGGTCACAGAGGAGGAAATTCAAAGAGTATTGTTTTCGATGCCAGCGAATAAATCACCGGGCCCTGATGGTTATACGAATGAATTCTTCCGTGCAGCCTGGCCAGTCTTTTCATTGTCGCGATTCAGTCTTTCTTCATTACCGGTTTCTTGCCAAAAGGTCTTAATACAACCATCCTTGCTCTTATTCCAAAGAAACTTGATGCAAGCGAGATGAAGGATTATAGGCCTATATCTTGTTGCAACATTATCTACAAAGTTATCTCCAAAATCATTGCAAACCGTTTAAAACGACTGATGCCACAACTTATTGCTCCAAATCAGTCAGCTTTTGTTAAAGACAGACTGTTGATGGAAAATCTGCTTTTGGCAACTGAACTGGTAAAGGACTATCATACAGTTTCAATTTCGGCAAGATGTGCTCTGAAGATTGACATCTCCAAAGCGTTTGATTCGGTTCAATGGCCATTCATACTTAACACTCTATCTGCAATGCACTTCCTTCCCAAGTTTATTCACTGGATAAATCTGTGTGTTACCACTGCCTCCTTCTCGGTTCAGGTAAATGGTGAACTTGCAGGTTTTTTCAGAAGTAGTAGAGGTTTAAGGCAGGGTTGCTCACTCTCTCCTTACCTATTTGTTATCTGTATGAACGTGCTGTCCAAGAAGCTTGATGGTGCAGCTCAGCGAAGAGATATTGGCTATCATCCGAAATGCCAAAACCTACCACTTACACATCTAAGCTTTGCTGATGACATTATGGTATTTACTGATGGGAAAAAGCGATCTGTAGATCTAGTTTAGGAAGATCGATTAAGAACTTAAGAACTCAAATATTAAGAATAACTCTCTTTATTGCTTTAGAAAACTAACTCAAAAACTAAAGCTCTCAACCTCATAAGGTTTACCACAACTTTGGCAACTCTTATATAGTGAGTAGATTAGATAACTCCTAATCCTAATGAAATTATGAATTTCCTTATTCTTAGATAACTCCTAAGAATATTTCCTATTCCTAATATCTTGGTGACTAAGTTATCTTCAAGCTTATCTCAACATTCTCCCCTTTAAGCTTGAAGTCATTCTCTACTACATCTTGAACTCCCATAAGATCCCTCATTTCTTTAAACTTGGTTCTTCCCAAAGCTTTTGTTAGAATATCCACCTTTTGTTCAGTTCCGGGTACATGCTCCACTTCAATCTGCCCATTTTCAACACATTCTCTGATAAAGTGAAACCTCCTGTGAATATGTTTGCTGCGACCATGGAATACCGGGTTTTTGGTGAGAGCGATGGCTGATTGATTGTCGATCCGAATAATAACCTTCTCACTTGATGATCCTATGACTTCGCACAATAAATCTTGGAGCCAGATAGCTTGTCTTGCGGCTTCCGTGGCTGCCATAAACTCAGCTTCACATGAAGATAATGCCACTATCTCTTGTTTCTGCGAGCACCATGTTATTGGACTTTCTCCAAGATAAAATATGTGTCCAGAGGTGCTTTTGCCATCATCAGGGTCTACATTGTGGCTACTATCACTGTAGCCGATCAATCTTGGAACCTTTGTAGCTGGAGGTTTGAAACTTAACCCAAGAGTTGTAGTTCCTTGCAGATATCTTAAGCACTGTTTCATTGCAGCTCCGTGTGGCACTCTAGGACTCTGCATATACCTGCTTAGAACTCCAACACAATAGGACAAGTCTGGTCTTGTATGTAGTAGATACCTAAGACATCCAATGACCTTTCGATATCCTGTAGCATCAACCTCCTTCTCGCCTTCAGCTTTGGACAATTTCAACCCAAGGTCCATCGGTGTATGAGTTGAATTGCAGTTCTTCATTCCAGCCTCATCCAAAATCTTTAAAGCATATCGATTCTGACTCAGGGTTATTCCATTCTTATGTTGACATACCTCAATACCAAGGTAGTATGTCAACTTCCCAAGGTCACTCATGTCAAACTTTGAAGACATCTCCCCTTTAAACTGCTTTATGACTTCTTCGCTTGTACCTGTGACAAATAAATCGTCTACATACACTGCCACGACCAAAAGTGTTCCACTAATCTCCTTTCGATACACAGAGGGTTCTTTCGAACACTTTCTAAACTGTAGCTCGACCAGAATTTGATTTAATTTGTTATTCCAGGCCCTCGGTGCCTGTCTAAGTCCATACAAGGCTTTGTGTAATCTGTAAACTTTCCCTTCGCTTCCTCTCTTCTCAAAGCCTTGAGGTTGTGATACATACACAGTTTCCTTTAATTCGCCGTGGAGGAAAGCTGTTTTTACATCCAGGTGATGTATCTCCCATCTATTTGAAGCTGCAAGATTAATGAGGAGTCGTATAGTTTCTAGCCTTGCCACTGGTGCAAATACTTCCTCAAAATCAACTCCGTAACGCTGCACGTATCCTTTGGCGACGAGACGAGCCTTGTGCTTGTTAATACTTCCATCCGAATTTCGTTTAAGCTTGAATACCCATTTTAAGCCAATCGGCTTTGCTCCTGTTGGAAGATCGACGAGAGTCCAAGTGCGATTTTTCTCAATTGAATGTAGCTCATCTTCGCATGCGAGTCTCCACTCTTTTATGTTTTTGGCTTCGTCGAAATTCGCAGGTTCCTCATTCAGACACATTAGAAGCTTATCTCCTTCTTCTTCTGCGACAAGCACATAATTATCAACAAGATATTTTGGTTTTATCGATGGTCTTGATGATCGTCGCAAAACAGGCGGTGTTTGACTCTCATTATCTTGAGCTTTGATCCCTTCTTCGTATGAATCTTCAAGCTCACCATCGTCTGTTTCGTTTACTGTCACAGGGAGCTCTGTTCTTTGCTCTCCTCTGTATTCCTGCTCTGTTTCGGCATTATCTCCTTGAATACCGTGATTCCCAAATTCTCCGATGGTGATTTTGAAGCTTCCACCTTGTCGTTCCTTTGAGTCTCTTAAATCCCAGTTCCATCCTTTTGTTTCATCGAAGACTACATCCCGGCTCACAAAAATTCTTCGAGCTTGTGGATCAAGCAAACGATATGCCTTTGATCCAGGCTCTATCCCGAGATGAACCAGAATACGCGATCTGTCGTCCAACTTCTTTAGCGATGGTTTTTCCACTTTTGCATATGCGATACATCCGAAAATCTTGAGATGTCCTACGTTTGGCTTTTTGTTTTTGAACAGTTCATAAGGCGTTCTATCCTTAAGTGCTCGTGTAGCTACTCTGTTTAGTAGATACGTAGAGTGTCTGATCGCTTCTCCCCACAGAAAATTCGGTACTCGCATATCCTTCATAATACTTCTTGCCATCTCCAATAAGGTTCTGTTACGTCTCTCAACAACACCATTTTGTTGAGGAGTGTATGGTGCAGTGAGATGTCTCCTTATTCCAGAAGTTTCGCAGAAAGAGTTGAACTCATACGAAACGAACTCTCCTCCCCTGTCTGTTCGAAACGTTTGTATACGGCTACCTGCTTCTCCTTCGACAAGACTTTTGAACCTCTTAAATTTGGCAAGCGCATCACTCTTTTCCTTTAAAAGAATTGTCCACATATATCGTGAGAAATCGTCGATGAGCACAAAGACATATCTATTTCCTGCTGAGGTACTCGGTGTGATGGGGCCACAAAGGTCTCCATGGAGAAGCTCAAGTGTCTTGGTTGCTCGATAAGAAGTGGCTTGAGGAAACACTTTCCTTGTTTGTTTTCCCAATAGGCACGATCCACATATCTCTTTCTCAAAGTTCATACTTGGAATCCCTTGAACAAGTTCTCTGTTCACCATAGACTTAATCGATTCGAGATTTATGTGTCCTAATCTTGAATGCCATCTTCTTGATTCACTGATAGCTGATAGATGTAAGCATTGCTGATCTCTAATACCCATTCGCACTTTGTATAGTCTATTTCTCGATCGAGTAGCCTTGGCAAGTAGCTTCCCTTTCGCGTCGTGCATCGTTAAACACTCTCCTTTCATTCGGATATCACAGCCAGATTCTGTGGCCTGTCCAAGACTAATGATGTTGCTCTTCAAATCCGGAATGAAGTATACATCAGTCATTACCCTTGCTTCTCCATTCGTATCAGTGAAAGATATCGATCCTTTGCCTTTAATGTCTATACGAGAGTCGTCACCAAAACGCACCTTTCCTGTAATTGATTCGTCCATACTAGAGAAATATCTTCGATCTCCTGTCATGTGGTTACTAGCCCCGTTGTCAAGATACCACAAGTCATCATCTCCTGAATTTGTTTCGTACTCGCTTGGTCTACAATGTTTCTCGTTTAAGTAGACAACTTCGTGCATTAGTAGCTCATCTGCGTTTTGTGTCTCACTATTGGAAGAGGTTTCTTGTGCTTCCTGAAGTTTAAGAAGACGATCTGGGCAATCTGAGGCATAATGGCCAAGTTTATCACATCTGTAACACGTAACAGATGATGTATCTCTCCTTACGTAACCTCGTCCTCGACCCCTGCCTCGTCTTCCTCCACGACCTCGACCTCTCCAATTATTCCAGTTTCCATTGTTGTCACGGTTCGACTGCCCTGTCTGATCTTCTGAGTTTGCATACATGAGTGTGGTTGAATCCTCTTGTGCTTCGTCTTCCTCAGAAATCCTTTCCTCATAAGCCTTTAACCTTCCTATAATGTCCTCAAAGCTTGTGTTATTAAGATCCAAGACTTGTTCTAGGGAGGCTACAATATGGATGTACTTCCGAGGTAGGCTCTTTAAAAACTTCTTTACTAACTTGGAGTCTTCAATGGTTACTCCAAGGGCAGTGGACTTCGACGAGATCTCCGATAGCTTGCCAGAAAAGTTATCGATTTTTTCGGAGTCTTTCATCTTCAGCCGGTCGAACTCTGTCATTAGCGTTTGTAATCGAGCCTCTTTTACTCTGTCTGCTCCTACATATCTTGTCCTGATAGCTTCCCAGACCTTCTTTGCTGATTGTAGTTCACCGACCTGTAGAACTAATGCCTCAGGTATCGATTGAAACAAAAGAGCTGTTGCAACGTTGTTCTTTTCTTCATCCGTAGATTCTGTTTCTATCGTTTCCCAGGCTTTGTTTACTTTGAGACAAACTCTCATTCGCATAGCCCATACAGTATAATTGGTGCTGGTTAGCATCGGACATTGAATTGCTGAAGAAGATACTCCTCCTTCTTTAGGTTTATCTGTCGCAGCTATGATATCCCCCATGATATCGTATCGTATGATCTTCGTCTCTGTTTATCGGCTAGATTTAGGTTTTGTTAAGCTCTGATACCAAATCTAGTTTAGGAAGATCGATTAAGAACTTAAGAACTCAAATATTAAGAATAACTCTCTTTATTGCTTTAGAAAACTAACTCAAAAACTAAAGCTCTCAACCTCATAAGGTTTACCACAACTTTGGCAACTCTTATATAGTGAGTAGATTAGATAACTCCTAATCATAATGATATTATGAATTTCCTTATTCTTAGATAACTCCTAAGAATATTTCCTATTCCTAATATCTTGGTGACTAAGTTATCTTCAAGCTTATCTCAACAGTAGAAGGGGTGCTGCAGGTTTTCGAGAGCTTTGCAAAGATTTCAGGACTGAGAATCAGTTTGGAGAAATCTATTATCTTTATGGCGGGTGTTCCTCAGGCTGAAAGAGAATTGATACTCTCTGATTTTACATTTGCAGCTGGTCAACTACCGGTAAGATACTTGGGTTTACCACTTCTCTCAAAAGGGATGACACGAGCAGACTATCAGCCGCTTATTGAAAAAATTCGAGCATCTATTAGTTCTTGGACTGTTCGCCACATTTCTTATGCTGGTAGGCTGCAGCTTATCCGATCGGTTTTGATGAGTATCTGCAATTTTTGGTTAACTGCATTCAGATTGCCTAGTTCCTGTATCGTTGAGTTGGAGAAGATTTTTTCCGCTTTTCTTTGGTCTGGTCCAGACTTAAATCCTCGTAAGACCAAAATTGCCTGGAACATTGTCACTCGGAAGAAGATGGAAGGTGGGTTGGGACTAAGACCGCTAAAAGAATCTAACATAGTCAGTTGCCTCAAGTTGATATGGAGAGTTCTATCGTCATCTGACTCCATCTGGGGGAAATGGATTCGTATGACATTACTTCGGAAAGAGTCGTTCTGGTCGGTAAAGGAAAATTACAGCTCTGGTTCATGGATGTGGCGGAAATTGTTGAAGTTGAGACCTTTGGCAAGTCAGTTTCACAAAGTGGAGGTTCGTGATGGAGTTGGAACATCGTTCTGGTTTGATCATTGGTCTACACAAGGCAGACTTATTGAGCTTTTGGGGCCTCGAGGTAGTATTGACATGGGAATACCATTACACGCAGGGATGGATGAGGTCTTACGGTCACATCGTCGCCGACGCCATCGACAGATTGTATTAAATCGGGTGGAAGATGAACTTGAGGTTCTTAAAAACCAATCAACCTCAGGTGGAGACATCGTTAAATGGAAGAGTCGTACAGATGCGTATAAACCACGATTTAAGTCCAAAGAGACTTGGTTGCTAATTCGGGAAACTCATCCTCGATGTGGCTGGGATGAGACAGTGTGGTTCAAACACTCAAAACCGAAATTCTCCTTCTTCTTCTGGACTGCAATGCATGACAGGGTATCAACAGGAGAAAAGATGCTGACATGGAATGCAAACTTGGATCCCGCCTGCGTTCTATGCCATCATCTTCTGGAAACGATTCAACACCTATTTTTCAATTGTCCTTTCTCTGCTCAGGTCTGGGAAGCTCTTGTCAAGGGTATATTGCGAGACCAATATACAACAGACTGGAACAGAATACTTCGGCTTGCTAATAACAGAGTCTTTGACAAAGTGACTCTGTTTCTGCTTCGTTACGCAATTCACGCCACCATGTATGGGCTATGGCGGGAAAGGAATGCGAGACGACATGGAGATACCCCATCACCTCCTCTTCGCCTGATCAAATTCTTGGACAAGATAGTGAGAAACAGATTAAGTACGATTCGCTCTCAGGGGGATAAGGTGTATGACGAGGGACTAACGATCTGGTTTGGAACCCGAGTTTAAACTTTTTGTAAAGCTCTTTTTCCTTTTAAAACATGAAGCACTATGATGTAAAACCGCTTTGATTGAATAAATTTTACATTCATTCAAAAAAAAAAAGAGTGAGATTATAAAATACTTACGAAAGAGCAAGAGGTCTTAGTCTCATACTCCTCTAACATGCAGGAAATTGTAAAGTCATTTTGATGAGGCAAACGGAAAGAACAACAAGACATTATTAGGTTACCTCCAATTGACTTGCATATGCTGTGGAATACATTTTCTTTATGTAGACTTAGAGAAGCTGTGGAATACTGTTAGGGATAAGAATCGAATTCAAAATCTAAACCTTTATTAAGATAGTACTAAATAGAGACAGAGAGTTTTTTCAGAAAAAAAAAAAAATCAGAAAAGAGTAAAACTCCCTAAGATAGATTTTATTATTGTCTATGGTTTTCAAGAGGTGTTTTGGTCAATTGAGGGTTGTCAATTGTGAAAGCTAGTAAGTAATAGCATAACATTCATCTTTTTTTTTTTCAGGAATTCTGGACGCATTACGCATATGAGTACATAAAAATAGCAAAACCACACATGATGAAAGGGAAAGGATAATTTGGAGGCCGCAGATTAGGCCTTTAAGTAGGCTTCAAAGTTTGTAGAGGAAACCATAAACACTTCAACGTCGGGCTGTTCTTCTAGCTTTAAAGAACCTTTCTCTGATTGAGATTAACTCCTTTGTGGCTTCACTTGTTTCCAACCGGTTCGTAGGAGATTCTTCACAACACCTAAGCCCCACCTCCAAAACCAGTGCCAAGCATTCAGCAACAGGGAAACCACCATTGTGAAGAATTGATCCGTCTGCAATGTCCAACACTCTTTCCGGCAATGCTGACTTTGTGAAGCTGTAGAGGGTAAGATTTCCCCCAAATAACTCATTGGTTGGTCTTTTTCCTGTGAACATTTCCAAAAGAAGAACTCCAAAGCTATACACATCACCATGTATTGATGGTTGTCCTCCCATTCCATACTCTGCATCATAATTCACATAAACAAGATTGTAATGAAACAAATAAAACACTATTTTTCTTCATGGGACATTACACATGTGTGGTGATAGGTTTACCTGGTGCAGCATAGCCGATGGTTCCTCTAACACCACCGGAGCTTAGTTGGTTGAAGAAGGACTCTTGATAGAACTTGAGAAGAAGACGAGCAAGACCAAAGCCACTAACATGGGCTGTCAAATCATTGTCTAGGAGGACGTTGCTTGGCTTCATATCACAATGAGCTATAGGTTCATGACAATGAACATGAAGATAGTCCAATACAGAAGCCACGTCTATAGCAACATTGAGCCTTTCAAAAAGTGTCAAGGTTCTTGACGGCCTACGAATCTCTTCTACTTCCTCTGGGTGCAGCCACATATCAAGGCTTCCGTTAGGCATGAATTCATAGATGAAAGCTCTGAATTCGTTTCCCTGGAAATCAATACTCGAACAAGCCGTCAATAATTTCACAAGATTACGATGTCGTATGTCTTTGAGGGATTCGCATTCTGCCATAAAGCTCTTCATTGCTCCACGTCTCTGCATATTTAGAACTTTCACTGCAACAACATTGTTTTCACCTAAGAGAAAAGCTTTATAGACAGTACCAAAACTCCCTGACCCAATCATGTTGCTCGAAGAGAAGCCATCAGTCGCATTTCTGATCTCTCCGTAGCTTATCTTCTCATGGAAAACCTCTGATGTGGAGGGAGTTTGATTATTGGTATGCTGGTTCTTCTTTCTTTTTTTGAACCAACATAGAGAAACCAAAGCTACGAACAGCAGCAAAAGCAAAGCTATGCCTCCGCTGAACCCGATCACAACTTTCTTTAAAAGAGAAAAATGATGTGATCCCATCGGTGGTGCTCCACTAAAGCATGGCATTAGTTTCAATTCTTTGATGCCTCCACAGAGATTTTTGTTACCAAATACTGAAACTATACTAGAATTCCGAAATTTTTCTTTCGTTGGGACACTTCCCTCAAAATTATTAACGGATAGATTCAGATACTCCAACGAGGAAAAGTCTGCAAGATATGCAGGTATACTTCGGACAAAACTATTGTTCGAGAAATCAGCACTTACAAGACCCTTCAACCCTCTTATATCTGGAACAGCTCCATGAAAATCGTTTCCATCCAACCAAAGTACTTCCATCGATAGACAATTTCCCAAGGATGGTGGGAGTTCTCCGGATAATTTATTATGTGAAACAGATAGTTTAACAAGATGTTCAAGTCGTCCCAACATCTTTTGGTAGAGAGCCGGTCAATGAATTCCTTGACACGTTTAATTCAACTAGGGATTGAATTTGCATAATTTCCCGAGGTATAGTCCCATCCAACTTATTAGACCCAATATTTAATTCCCGCAGCGAAGTACAGTTACTGAGACTCAGAGGAATGGTTCCTTCAAACCTATTGTTAAACAAGTATAGCTCTTCTAATCGAGTGATGTTTCCTATAGAAGATGGTATCTCTCCAGACATACTATTATAATTGAGATATAGTACCCCTAATTGTAAAAGCTTACCAATAGAGATTGGTAGTATACCTGTTAACTTATTTTCTTCTAACACAAGTCTTCGCATGCTTATGAGATTCCCAATATCGTGAGGAATGTTTCCAGAGATGAAATTTGTTCTAAGATCTAAGTCGTGAAGGTTTCTGGACAGATTCACAACAGAGGTAGGCATGGGACCGCCAAGTCTATTTTCACTAACGGATAAATATCCTAGTTGGGTGCAATTAGCCAAAGAAAGCAAGAAATTCGAGATCTCCAAAAGAGTAACTTCCCAAAGAATTGCTATAAAGTAATAGCAATTGCAAATTCTGTAATTTTCCAAAACTCTGAGGAATACCTCCTGTAAGACTGTTGTTCTGGATTCCCAGCCTTTGAAGATTCGTAATATTGGAAAGTGTTGTTGGAATGGCTCCTCTGAAATAATTATGTCCCAAACTTAACTCCCGTAGGTTTGGTAACAGCATACCAAAATCATGTCTCAGGCTTCCCGAGAAATGACAATTAGCGGTGCCTAAATACTCAAGTGAGGACAAATTATAGATTGGGGGAGGAAAAACACCAGCGAACTTGTTCGTTCCTAATTCAAGTGTGATCATTTGAGTCAATCTAGATATATCATCCGGAATTTCTCCTTCGAGATTGTTATCGCCAAAGCTAACTTGCTTGAGTGATGTCAAGTTTCCTAGAGATGCAGGGAGTTTGCTATTCAAGTTGTTTTCACCAAGATGCAAATCGACAAGATTTGTTAATGACCCTAGCTCTGAAGGAACACTTCTCTCAAGACGATTTGAATATAAATAAAGGATCAACAATCGAGAGCAGTTAAATAGATTGATTGGAATCCCTCCTCCCAGAAATTCAAGCTCATATCCACGTAACGAAGTCTAAACAAGTTTCCCACTTCTTGAGGGATGGTTCCACCAAAAGAGTTACGAGAGAGATTAAGATATATGAGAAACGAAAGATTACCAATAGATGGTGATATCACCCCACCCAATTGAAACCCTCCGAGGACCAGACCATTAACTCTCTTGTGTTTGCGGCCACATGTAACCCCCTTCCAGTCGCAGAGAGGGAACGAGTTGTTCCATGAGGACAAGACAACTCTTTTGTCTTCAGAAACTTGAGACTTGAACTCGAGCAATGCTTTCTTATCAGTTTTATCGGTAAAACGATATGCTTCAAGTAACATGAAAGCACTGAAAGAAAATAAAAGAAACAGTCTCATTTTTTTTTCCTGGGTTAAAAGCTTTTTGTGCTTCTCATTTATTGCATCAAATAGAATATAGAGAGGATTACTGTATTAACCTTAGAAAGTATCTATATAACTTGTTTGGCGCACTTTTATTTTTTTTACAAAACTAACCTAGCATACCTAAAATACCCTTTTTGTCTTTGTTAAAAAAAACCTAATTACGAAAATGCCATTACTTTTTTAATGCCATGTAGACAGAATATGGCGCTGAAATTTTGATAAGTCTATCAGGTTTTGACGGTAGACTTATCAAATTTTGGTCAACGCAAAAATTTTGTCTGTAGAGTTATTAGGTCGATGGTAGATTTATTCGAGAGTTGGTAGAGTTTACAAATGTTGGTAGACTTATCTTGGTAGAGTTTTGACGATGAGAGGTAAATTTGTTATGTTTTGGTAGATTTATTGTTATGAATGGCAGACTTATCAAACGTGTTGGTAGACTTATTAAAAAAAGCGATGACTTTGTTGCATAGTTGACTTTGTCGGTAGATTTATTGATAATGAGGTAGATTGAATTTCTGAGTTGGTAGACTTATGTCCTTTGGCAGTGACTTATGTGAAAAAAGTTGTCAATACGTGACGGTAGATATATCTGTTTTATGGTAGAGTTATATCTAGTTGGTAGATTTTTTGCTTTTGTGGTAGATATGTTTGTTTTGTGGTATATTTAAATTCAAGTAAAATTCCTTCCGGTGAGTGGTAGATTATTTGTTACATGAGGTAAACTTACAAAATGTTAGTAGATTTATTTGTTTTGTGGTAGATATGTTTGTTGTGTGGTAGATTTAAATTGAAATAAAATTTCTTCCGGTAAGTGGTAGATTATTTGTTACATGAAGTAGACTTACAGAATGTTGGTAGATTTGTTTGTTAGTTTGGTAGATTTTATGTAATCTGGTAGAGATATTGTACGTATGGTAGACTTCTTATAATAATCATGTGGTAGATTAATTAAGTTTGGTATTTACAAAGATAACCTCGATCTGGTAGACATATGAGGTGCTTATGGTAGACTTGTTTCTATGGTAGAGTTATTTTCCATGCTTGAGGTAGACTTAGTTGTTAATGTTTGGCAGACATTTGACTTTTTGGATTGAAATTACTTTTTTGTCCTAAAAGTATTCTCCTATCTACGAAAAAACCAGCGGTTTGGTAGACTTGTTTTGGAATGTTGTATGTTAAACATGTTTCGTACATATGGTAGACTTGTTCCATGGTTATATTTGACTTGGTTTTGTTACCATTGACGTTTTCTTTGCATGAGTTTGCTAAGATTATGTTGGTTGACTGTGATTCGATCACAGATGATTATTGGTCTTTACGATATAGATGCCATAATCAATGGTCAAAAATTTCTAACATGAATATTTTTTCTATGATATATTTTTTCTCTAAGATAACTTTGCTTTTCATATTAACTTTGAACATATATGTCATATTTGTAATAATCATCTCTTAACTTATGATCTTTTGATTTTTAATTTTTGAATATTTGTTACATTTAACTCTATTTACATAAACTCTTACAACATCACAATATCAAATGATTTTAGTCATGTGTTTTGATTAAAATTTTATTCAGTTATGATATACACCATAGTGAAAGTAAAGAAATAAAGAAAATTGAATAATAACATTACTAGCAAATGTGATAAAAATGTGAAATGTCTGGGTCAATGTTTTACGACAAATATAATTTGAAAACAAAAATATTATCATTCAAAATCTAATTATCATTTTTATAAATTAAAATATAGATATACCATCAATTTAATAATAAATCTACCATCATTTCAAAACAAATCTACCAAATGTAAATCTACAATTCATAGTAAAACATGTTGGATCGATGCTGGATATCCCATCAAAGATTTGTTCACCATGGCAAAGCCCATAATCTGTCAGAAAAAAATAAACAAATATTGTTATTCGTATATAAAATTCAAATATATACGACTGATAAATCTACCATAAATAACTAATAAATCTACCAAACACATATCATTTTTCAAATAAGTTACCATTAAATGACTAATAAATCTACCAAACCACATCGTTTTACAAATAAGTCTATCATTAGATGACTAATAAATCTACCAAACGACATCATTTTTTAAAATAATTTTACCATCAAATAACTAATAAATCTACCAAACCACATTTCGTTTCTAAATATATCTACCATCAAATAACTAATAATCTACCAAACTACATAACGTTTTTCAAATAAATCGACCATATTATGAACTTTACAACAAAAAAATACAATATCGATTTCCAAATATATCTACCAAACGTACCTGAAAAAAAATTAGGGTTACGGTTTTTACAGAAAAATTTACGCCGCCGACAACCTCCACAACACCACCATTCCATCGAAACAACGTTTGTCCACTGCGGTTGTGCGCGAAGCAGCGAGAATGCTGCTTAAGAGTCACCGTCAACCGCCACATCTCCGTAGTTTATCGTTGATATTAGATCCAAAAACCCAGATCTAGAAAAAAATCAAAGAATTCGAAAAAAAAGAAAAAAAAACTCACATAATAGCAGAATGAATTGTAGAAGCCATGGGAAGATCTAGATCTCCGAGCTTGGAAACGTTGGACGCTTCTTGATACAAAAAATCGGTAGAGCTAGTTGTGTTTTTCTCGATCTGAAACATCGATGCTTTGAAGTTCATAAAGAATACCTATTCATACAACAAAATTAAAAAAAAAACAAAAGAAAAGATTTTGAAGAGAGCAAGAGAGGAATGAAAAGGTTAAGAAGAAGAGCAGTTCCATGGGAGAAAGAAAGCGGCGCTGGAGAAAGAGAGAGAGAAGAAGATGAATTAGAGTTTTTTATTTTTTGGTTTTGGTTTTGTATTTCTTTTTTTTTTTTTGCTTTTTTCGTTTAAAAAATAGTTTTTTTCTAAAATTTTTTTTTTCGAAACTAAAGTTTTTTCGAAAATTTTTTTTTTTTTAAAAAAAAATCATAATGGCATTTTCGTAATAATATTCAACATCTAGATAAAATGGACTTATACCAACTTTATAAGGTTAATCTAGTAAGCCCTTCAATATGTTAGACTAGGTTTGTCATTTCATCAACCTTAAAGGCTAGTCTGAGGAATTTTCACTAGAATATATGAGACGAAGCAACTGCAAAATGCATATGAGTTAAAAGCTTTTTGTGCTTCTCATATTTTGCAGGAAATTGAATATAAGAGACGAAGCAAATGCAAAAGGCATTGGCTCACAACCACATATTGAATCGGCAAGACTTTTCAAAATCCCGTTGAATTGTAGTCAACCTTCTTGCCGTCTGAGTCAATCGTATTAAATTCCCAAATAGTTAACTTTATACATAATAGGTGAATATCCGTACATAATGTGCGGGTTTTTTTTTTTAACTATTTCAAATCTTCTATAAAAACAAACATAATCATTATTTGTTATATATATTCGTATGTTATTATAAACAATTTTAAAAATTTTATACAGAAAATAATTTTAAAAATTAATTTGGACCTCGAAAAAGTGGTCCGGTGATGGAATCATGCTCGTTTGTACAGGCGGTGGTTACCGGTGTTTGATGCGTGGGTGTGGCGAAGCTTTGGCCTTGGGTCAGTGTTGGGCGAGTGGGCTTGCCGCCCGGGGACAGTATTAAAGCGAAGCGGCAGAATTCTCTCGGCTTGTCACCTTCCAATTAGCCCTTTAAATTCCACTTTGCCCCTCTTCTCATCTGTGGTTGGGGTGAGCTGCGAGGCGTCTTGCCTTCGGAGTTTAAGAGGTTGTGGTAATCTCGGCTTTCCATAATTTTTGATCGGTGGTCCTACGCCGTTCTGGGCTAGGGCGGAGTGGAGAGTCGACGGCGGTGGTTTTCCTTCAGCGGACACATCGTTTTAGGTTTTCTTTCGTTCAGTTTGTCTCCGATTTGTTTGCTTCGGTTTGGTTCGCTCTTTTCAATTTCCATTGTATCTGCTTAGCCTGATTTCTCAGACCTATTCGGGTTTTGGTTTGGATTTGTAATCTAGTTTACTAATATATTATTAAAAAAAAAAATATATATATATATATATATATATATCAATCAATGTTTTTTGATGTCTAAATTTTTATTTAATTTTTATTATGAAAATCCAATCCATAATTTTATTGCTAATTACTCTTTATACAATTGCAAAAAAATATATTTTCTCCCATGACTCATTTATCGTGTGAATCAAGCAATAAATAACTTTTTTAACAGTTATAATTTTTTATATTTATACAATAGAAACTAATATTAAAAGAAAATTATAGTTACATTTTAAATATATATATATATATATATTTATATGTATGTTTATTTTATGAAGTAGAATGTGATATTTCAGAAAAAGACAAAAATATATAATTCAGGTCTTGAAAATATTACCTAATAATAAGGTAATTCTGAAAAGTGAAACATCAAAGCTGTACATGAGAGAAGACCAATGTTGGTCTTACAAATCCACCTTCTCTAAAGTTTTTTCTTAGCTTTAATTTTTTAAATCATTTTAGCTTTGAGAATATGATTAGCCAACAAAATTAGTATCAGTCGACTGCCATTGCAAAATCAGCAATTCAGATCAATGTTCTTAAGAAGTATAATTGGAGAACCTACTTATAAAACCAACTTATGGTTAAGCAAACCAAAAGAAATTTTGGGTGTAAACTCCATTTCCGTCCCAAATTTCTCGTTCCATTCCCAGTGTTATCCAAATAATTTTCTGTTCAGAATTATTTATTTAATTTAAATAGATACAAGAAGGATAACAGAAGGAACAATAATAAGATAGGTACTTGAATTACTTGTTTGAAAATTAATATTTTAAAAATATATATACCTAAAACTATCCATTTTTTTTAAATACCCATCCACAGTTAAGAGTTTGAAAAGTTATTTTGGCTACCTGATTTGTCCCATTACTCAAATTTCTCTTTTATATCAAAAACATTTTAGAGTTATTTTTTTAGTACATGAATAATTTACTTTCAAAATGAACAGACCTACTATTGGCAAAAATGGCTTCTATCTTCACTTAATTGAATAAAAAAATGTATAGATAAATATTATAACATAGAAAGATATAAATATTGATAACACACTTACTTTTAAATAAATCTATGTTTCTGTAAGGGTTTTTTTAACTTCTCTTAAGTGCTTTGATCTTAGGATCTATGATATGAATTAGAAATTTAAAGAACACAAGAAATTAGTCATCTAGTTCACAGCCTCGAACCGCTACGTCTGGGGTGGGAACTGTCTCTTACAACCTCTACTATCAATAAAAAAATACACAAAGGCATTAACCAGCGCTCTCTGTGTTTCAGGTACAAGTAACAGAATAGAACAATATAAGAAGAAAACTGAATCACAGCACAAAGAAGATTCGAACTTCCTTTAGTGCTCTCTTGGATTCCCTCTTCTCTTATTTCTCAATTGCTCTCTCTCTTTCTTCCTCTGTATCTCTTGCTTGTACGCTCTTTGACTCTCTCTTTCTTGTGTTAGGGTTCTTCTTCTCTCGGCTTTTTTTTTATACGCAACGTAGAAGATTTGTAATACAAAAAAATTTGTGCCAGCAAACACTTGTGCCAGCAAACACGAGCCCACCTGAAGCATGAATTCGTATTGAACCATTTACATTACAGATCATTGACACCCTAATTCAAGTCAGATGCAATTCCTGTGAATCTCTGCAACTCCGGCAAAATCTCAAACCTCTACCACCTCTGTCAAACTCTGAAGCTCGCGACACCTTTCGGCTCAACCAATTTCGAGCTTTGTCGCCAACTCCCCAATGTCCTCTCGATCGCTATTTCAAGAGACAAAATCCAATCCAGGTCTGCCATTTCCGGTATGCCTTCGTCGTCGACTCTATCTGGTATCTTCAACAGTCCTCACACGTCACCATTCAAGCCCTGAAGCCTCAATTCCTCTTTGATTCTTCCCGATAGTGAAACTAGATGCAAATTTTTTCAAACCAGAAAAAAATTCATCTCCTGCGATTCCTCTTTGCTGTTATTCTCTGTAATCTCAGGTATCATCCCCAATCTCGTTTTCATCTCCTTGCTATGACGAACTTTAGATTTCCTTTCTGAGATTACCAACTCACAAAATTCTGAAAATTTCGATCCTTTATTTGCAGCGGAAAACAGTTTTTTTTTGTGTGAACATTCCATGTTCATCTGCTTAGCTCTTCGCAAGTTCACCAACGAACCACTTTGTCTTGTTCATTGTTTCCGATGATTCCAGGTAACCCCTTTGACCTGAACCATTTATCATTGCACTGTCTCTGTATCGACTGATATTTCCAAGACACTGTGAAATCCAAACTTGATTTCTATGAGTTATCCTTCTGATTCATATTTGCCGACCTGTTAATTCATCTCATGTGCACTGATTTTTGAATCAACCTCTTTATGAATCACTTTGCAGCAACTCCACCTGAAACTAACCATAGTCTCAATTTCATCTTCTTTTGCAGCTTCTTCCAGGGAACAGCCCATGTTCTTCAGCTACTTAGATGACCTCAGGTAAATCCCTTAACCTGAACCTTGTACTCTCGACTTGTTTCCCAGATTCAAGAACACACACGACTAACTTGTATTTCCTTGAATCTCCCTGCAGCTCCACCTGGAATCAGTATTTCCTTACTGCAATTCCAGCCACCTCCAGGTAACTCATTTAACCCATTAATCAATCTGATTTTACTTTATCGACATAAGAACATCTCCAAAAAACTGACCCGTTTCTATGTTCTTCTTCCTGCGAGAGTACACTGTCGATAATAGAGTTACCTGGAGCTGCACCACCCTTCAAACTAGGTTGAGAAGATCGCAGCAAACCTGAGCTTTTTGTCCAGGTACTGCTTCCGTTATAAAATCTGTTGAAGTTTTACTCTTGTGAATTGTAGATAAAACTACCTCTCCTTTAGCTCTATCTCCAAAGAAACCTGTTCCCAACATCTTAGAATGTTTCCCAAATCTTTCACCTCAAGTTCTTTGTTCAAACTCTCTTCTTCTCTAACACTTTTCTGATGCATCTGCTTCTTACTTTCAAAGAAATCATCGAGTGATGATTCTATTTCAGATTCTTCCTTGCTCTCCTTAGACTCAATTTCCTTCGTACTTTCCAATTTTTCTGACGATGAAGAGTCTCCACCTTGAGCTGATGAACCCCTTGTTTCAAAACCATATGGAGTATGTCCTATAATCATATTCTTACTGAATTTCATCTTCTTTGACTTTTTCTTTTTCACTTCTACCTCAAATCTTGGCATGTTCACTTCAACCTTAGAAACTGTGCCTTGAAGATAATACAAACCACCTTGGTATTTTCTAGATATTACCTTTTTCTTGCCTTTGTAGAACTGAACTTTGAAGTCACCTCCGTTATACCTGCAATCAGATTTCTCTAACATCCCATAAGAAATAAGATTCCTACTCACCTCCGGCATGTATTTCACATCCTTGAGTATCACTACAGAACCATCTGGATTCTGAATCCGAATCTTCCTCATTCCTTTGATATTACAGTGAGTGTTATTAGCCATCAGAACTCTACCACCATCAAATTCCTTGAAGTCAAACAAGACTTCTTTGTCTGGTGTACTATGGTATGAACAACCTGAGTCCATAATCCATACTTTCTTTGTATCTTGAGTGCTGACACTTAACACCATTGGTTCCTTTGAATCTGTTGCAAAATTTGCAGAATCTGAATGTTTCTTTCTGTGAGGGCATTCTCTTTTCCAATGCCCTTCATCTCCGCAGATAAAACAACCTTTGTTGTTTTCTTTCCTCTACTCTTAGACCTTCCTCTTCCATTCTCTGACCTCTTTTCTTATGTGCCTCTAGCCTCAACATATAACCCTTCTCCATTTGATCTTCGAAGCCTTTCAATTTCAGACAGCTCTCTCTCTCCTTAGATTTTGCAGCACTAGCTACTTCCTCCAACTGAATAGCTTCCCTGCTATACTTAAGAGTATCTTTTAAAGAATCATACCTAAAGGGAAGAGAGTTGAGTAGCAATATTGCTTGAACCTCTTCTGGTATCTCAATGTTGAGGTTGCTCAAATCTGCAATCAGCTTCAAGAAGTCATCTACATTCTGATCAATTGATCTTGAATCCTGCATTCTAAAAGAATACACCTTAAGCTGAGAATGGACCAGATTAGGCAAAGCCTTTGCCATGTAAAGCCTCTCAAGAGTAGCCCACGCTTGAGCTGCGGTTACGCACTTGTCTAGTTTCCTTAATACATGATCTCCAATGCACATGAAGATAAGATTCAAAGCCTTCTCATCTCGCTCCAGCCTTGAAGTCATCTTTGCTATTTTTCTTCACTGCCTCTGGATCCTTTTCATCCACTTCTTTGGATGTCGGTTCCAAAAGAACATCTTTCAAACCTTGAACGGTTAAGTACACGAGCATCATTTTCTTCCAGATCACAAAATCACCTGATTCGTCGAACATGCTCACCTCCATTTTTTGTGTCATCATCACTGAGTTTCTAATCTGATCCTTCTAACACTCAAACCTGGATTGCTCTGATACCACATGTAAGGGTTTTTTAACTTATCTTAAGTGTTTTGATCTTAGGATCTATGATACGAATCAGAAACTTAAAGGACAAAAGAAATTGGTTACCCAGTTTATGGCCTCGAACTGCTACGTCTGGGGTGGGAACTGTATCCCACAACCTCCACTATCAATCAAAGAATACACAAACACATTAACTTTACGCTCTCTTTGTGTTTCAGGTACAAGTAACAGAATAGAACAATATAAGAAGAAGACTTGAATCACAACACAAAGAAGACTCGAACTTTCTTTAGTGCTCTCTTGGATTTCCTCTTCTCTCCTTTCTCAATTGCTCTCTCTCTCTCTCTCTCTCTCTCTCCCTCCCTCTCTCTCTCTCTCTCTCTCCTTCTCTCTCTCTCTCTCTCTCTCTCTCTCTCTCTCTCTCTCTCCCTGTATCTCTTGCTTGTATGCTCTTTGACTCTCTCTTTCTTGTGTTAGGGTTCTTCTTCTCTCGGCTTTTTTTTATACTCAACGAAGAAATTTGTAATGTAAAGGAATTTGAGCCGGCAAACACTTGAACTCACCTGAAGCATGAATTCGTATTGGGCCATATAGAAAGAATAATAAGGCCATTATCCCACAGTTTCTCTCCATATATATCCTTAATAATGGAGTAGATTTGCTTACAACTTGGTGCATATATTGATAACACGCAAGAAAAAATAACGTAATTTATCAGTTTGGTATATGCAGCATCTTCAAGTAACTTAAAAATTGGAAAATAGTTCACTGGCTCCCTTTTTGTGCTACAGATTATGAGTCCGTATTTACTTTTTTGGTTTCAAATTTACCTAAGATCACATCAATTGTGAAACCTTTAGACTGAATAGTTCAAGTATTTTAATTTTCTTTTCGTCAAATTTTATTTTTTCATCACTTTTAAGTACTCGATGATAAAGTAGAGAGAATACATCAGCCTTCACAAGCTCTGTTCCAGGTACATTTCTGAGTAAGAGCTTAATCACCAATCCCTGTAAATAAAATCGAGACACTATAGCTTCAACAACCGATGTGATTATTAACCTGTTCATTTACTTATCCCTACGACAGCAGCAAGCGACCAAAATATGCATGAATATATATACGTTGCTTGGAGCCCAAGATTGTGGCTAGCTTGTCGCTAAATATCGATTTCGGAGCCACCACAACTTATATCTCTGCTGCTAGAAAATTAAGTGACACATCTTATTCCAGCGATACTTTTTATGTGCAACCATTTTCAGCTCAACAATTCTGCCGCAGTCATTTTGCTCGGATGCTCATTATAGATATCATCGTTCTACTCTGTCGCATGATCACATAAGTAGAAACCCTTGAATCAAATTTAAAAAATTAAATCAAAAGAGAGCTGTGAATCAAAAATAAAGATTATACAATTACCACAAACCTAATATTATGCCACACTCTTGTACCACATCAAGTTCATGAAAAATAGATCAGTACAATTAATTGTTTAGTTGATACAAATTTAAATCAGTACAATAATCTACCTCTTTTGTCGTGATTCTTTTTGTTGCCTTATCAACTGTATTGTTTTCGCACTGATTTTAATCTGTTTATGTGATCCCGTGCCAACATATTGAGCAAGTTATGGGAATCGTTTAGGAAATAGGTGGTCAAAGAGGGAGACTTGCGTCTGAATGGTGTATTTAGGTTCTTCTCAAAAACTATAACTATATCTATCTTTTTGGCAGTTCTCTTAGGATCCCTTATATTCCTCAATTATTTGTAAGTATATAATCACAAAATGAGATTTTAAACTATACCAAATTCAAACAAATTATACAAAAACATATCAAATTTTTTAAAAAAAAAAACCCAATAAGAACCTAATTAACCAAGATTTCACATATAGAAATCTCAAAATATTAAAAAAATAAATCTAGATGACAATAAAAAGAAGAAAAAAAGTTTTGATTTTAGAGATCTATACAGAAATATTATTTACGGCAGTGGCCGATTTTAACAAACCAACCGGAAAAAATATAAACTGATTCAAGTTTTGATTTCAGTTCGTTTTAATTTTGTTTGTTTTAAATAAAATTGGTTTGTTTTAAGTGAATTTCGACTGTAAGCAAAATGTTTTAAAAAATTGACATGTAAGCAAAACATATCAAATTTCGCCAAGTACCTAAAGATTAGCAAATCACTACACAAACAATATCACACTTTTATACCACAATAAATTCATAAAAAAATAGATCAGTATCTTATATATAAAAGTTGATCAACTCTCTTTATATAAGTGACACATCAACATTTGAAAGTTAATATAAAAATGACATGCGTCATATCTTCAAGTTTAAAATTACAGTTTTTAAAGAAAATTAATTAATAAATTTTAATTTTAAGTGTTAAACTATTCAAAGAAAATATTTTTTTTTATTAATTGATTCTTAAATAACATTTATGTAAATATTAAACAAAAGTTTATGTTGTAATCAATTAAAATTTAATGTTTTTAAATAAATTTTTGATTTTTAATGATATTATATTTTAAAATTGACTGATTTCTAATAATATATATATATATATATATATATATATTGTTAAAAGGCCTTCATTAATTTAAAGAGTTTACAACGAAACCGGAAAGAACCATGAACCATTGAACTTAAACAAACCAGAAGGGGGAGGGCACCAAATGCAAAAGCATCTGAAAACCCGAGGAGAAAGGAAGGGGAATTCAAGAGCAAGCAACACCAGAGGGAGCAGCACTTAGCTGAAAATGTCACGCCGCAGACCAGATGCGGAGAAGACAGTCGTCGGAGTCCATACCCAGACATTTAAAAGCCAAAGCCTTGTTTTTCATCACCCTTAAAACGTTGATGAGCATGGCCAAAGGTGATAGGGTCATACCATGATGAAATCTTCTGTTTCTTTCCTTCCAAATCTCATAGACGATGGCCTGCCAGCCGAGCAATAAAGCAAGAGTTAGATCAGAGGACAAAGAAGTATTCAGAAGCCAGTGGATAATATCATTCCACTCGATAAGCGCAAGATGAATGTGAAGCTTCACAAGCAACCTTCTCCAGATGAAACTAGAGAAGCTGCAATTGAAAAACAGATGATCCCGACTTTCGTCACCGGCGCCACAGAGCAAACACGTCGGTTCGACATCAAGACCCCACGCCAACATGCGGTTTTCTATTGGATTCCTATCAAGAGTGAATAACCACGCAGTGGTAGAGTGCTTCGGGATGGCTGACGAAAACCAAATCAGCTTGAACCAGTTAACCTCTGGATGATGCTCCCTGATTTCATACCATACCTGAGATGATCGGAACCTTTCCACAACTTTTTCCCCAATGAGCCATTGCGGCGAGTCCGCAGATTGAGAAGGGCTAATGGAGACGAGATAAGAGAGGAGTTGAAGTTGCTTTGCCGATCTTGCAGGTGGCAGGAGCCAACTGTCGTCCTTACGCACCTCACAGATTAGGCCGTTTTTGTGAATACCCAAAGAAGAAGGACCTAGAGGGCCAAGGAACTCGATAAGAGGACCGAAGGGAGTCCAAGGCTCCCACCAGAAAAAAGTTTCGTCGCCTCTGCCAATTTTAATACGGAGGAACCTCAAAGCAGCTTTACGGAGCTTGAGAAGCTTGCGAAACATCCAAGAGAGGTTATAGTTCCTCTCACTCAGGGACCAGAAGCAACCTTTGGAAAAATAAGTCCTTCGAATCCACGCTACCCATAGTGACCCAGAACGGAAGTACAACATCCATATCAATTTCATACCACAAGTTGCGTTCCAGCTCGCGATAGGTCTCAAGCCTAAACCACCTTCAGCTCGGGGGGTCGTAACTGAAGCCCATGCTACTTTAGCACTAGGCGAACCCTCTAGCTTTCCATGCCATAAGAATGATCCACAAAGAGAGTTTAGCTTTTTAATAACCTTTTTAGGCAAAAAAATGCAGCGGTCCAAAAGCCGATAATTCCCGCAATGACCGAAGCTAACAACCGTAAACGACCCGCGATGCTTAGGTGACGGTGCATCCAACCATTTTTCTGAAGCAAAGCATCACAATCACATATCGATAGCTTCCTAGAACAAAGAGGGAGGCCCAATCGAATGGGGAGAGATCCTGGGATAAGTGAAAACTTGTTACGCAGGAGATCCAAGGCAGCATCAGAAACACCCGAACAGAACAGAGAGGTTTTTCCAGGTTCACACCTAATCCTGATATTTTCTGAAACTGAGAGAGGATTGAGAAAACACCCGCCACAGACTGGAATGATCCTTCCACAAAAATTAAGAGATCGTCCAGGAAGGATAAGTGCGTTAAAAAGTGGTTTTCGCAACCCGGATGATACCTAAAAATACCATCGTCCGCTCCCAAACAAAAACAGAGACAGTGGATCTCCCTGACGAAGCCCTGAGCGACCCTTGAAGTATCCAGAGGTAACTCCATTTATGCAAACCGAGAATGTAGGCGTGCAGATACAAGCACAAATCCAAGAGATGAACACTTCGGGGATGTTATAAGCCTGCAGCGAGGATAACACAAAATCCCATCGAATAGTGTCAAAGGCCTTCGCTATATCGATCTTCAGGGTGATTCTGGGAGACTGGTCAGACTTATGATAGCCATTAAGAACCTCTGATGCCAGAAGAACGTTTTCAAGGAGCAAACGATCTTTTACAAACGCCATCTGGTTAGGGGCCACAATATCGGGAAGAATCCGCTTCAATCTATCAGCCAAGAGACGAGATATGAGCTTATAGGAGGTGTTCAGGCAAAAAATGGGCCTGAAATCTTTAAGCTCGTCCGCACCCGCACGCTTCGGAATAAAAACGAGGGAAGTCGCGTTCATAGAGGTAGGCATGAAAGCGTTCAAGAAGAAGTCTTGGACCGCGACAATAACCTCCAAACCGATAATATCCCATGCGCTTTTGAAGAATTCCATAGTGAAGCCGTCTGGGCCAGAAGTTTTGTTTCTCGGCATTGCAAATAGAGACTCTCTGATAGAATCATTGGGAAATGATGCAGAGAGCAAGGCTTGATGGAAAGGAGAGCAAGTAACCAACTTTAACCTGGCAAGGTATTCCCTAAGAAAGGGGCAGTATGAACCTCTAGTAGAACAAAAGATCGCCTCATAATAGGCCTGAGCTAGCTGGCGAACTTCCATCAGAGAAGAAGACCTCGAGCCATCTTCTTTGCGAAGATACTTGATCGCATTAGAACCGTTTCGCAACTTGGTGATAAAGTGAAAGAAATGGGTGCTACTATGACCTTCAGCAAGCCACTTTATCCGCGAAAGTTGCCTGAAAAAACTTTTTTCAGCCTGGCGCAGCAATACCCATGAATCCCGAGCCTCCTTTTCCAAGAGAAGAGTTATCGGAGAAGGATCATTTAGGGCTTGAAGTTGAAGAGACTTAAGCTCAGCATTCGCTTCCTGAACTCTCTTCTCAATGTCGCTGTAATTTTCCTTGCAAAGGGTTTTCAACGCTGGCTTGAGCGATTTGAGCTTGAAATCCAAGGACTTCAATGAGGTAACCGGACTATCAAGACCCTCCCACTGAATTCTCACAACTGCACTGAATTGAGGAAGCATGGTTAGACAGTTCAGGAATTTGAAAGAGCGCGTACCAAAAGCCGGCGGAGGAGATAAGAGACGAATGTGGCACGGCGTGTGGTCAGAGAACTCAGGAGGTTCGAAGTGCAGTGGCTTGAAGGAAACAAAACCCTCCAATGGTCATTCGCCAACGTTCTATCAAGCTTCTTAGCCGTCGGAGCTGAAGGTCTTTTATTCGACCACGTAAATCTTGGACCTTAGAAATGGCACGTCGAAGAGACAGAGATCGGATAAGCAGTCACCAAAGGATCTCATGTCCGACGAAGAAGAAATAAAAGCCGGGTTTGATGATTCAGATGATTCAGACGGCTGGAGAATTTCATTGAAGTCACCTACCACCAACCACGGCTTGGAGATAAGATTAAAAGAGATGTGGGTGTCCCTTAATGATTGCCATAGCTCCCTTCGCTCTTCAACCTCATTCGAAGCATAAATCGCTGTAAGAATAAACTTATCTCCCTCCTCGAGAGAGACTTCGCATGATATAGATTGCTTATCAGAAAAAGATGCTGATTGTGGACCGGGTTCTTGAAGATAATCCAGATTTTCCCCATCGGTGAGAAGATATAGTTTGAGATAGCAGACCAACCTGCTCTACTGGTTGACAAAACATGGTTCTTATTGGTTTCGCTTACATGCGTCTCGAGTAGCACACCAAAAGAGATCGGCCGAGACCGGATCCAATCTGAAAGGGTGCTATGCTTTGAAGGGTCGTTAATCCCACGCACATTCCAAAAAAATGTATCACACATAAATAGATTTTAGTTTTTGCGACCCCCTAGCCTGAGCAGAGGGACAGCCTTAGTAACCGGTGAATTTGAAGACTTCTTCTGCTTCTTCATTCTCTGGTGAGATGGTGAGGAAGAAGAGGGAGAGTCGACAGAAAGTCCAGGTTGATCCTTATACACGGCAATCTCCTGGCCAGAGATAACTAAGCAGGCATCATCCAGATCCTCATCACACTGCAGCGATCCAAAGTTGTTACTCACAGTCACTGGGGATTCCACCTTAGCCTCTAAAACCTTTCTTGCAGGAAGGGTTTTTGTGGCATTTGTGAATCTATCACTCACCATTTCCAAAGACTAGGTAGTAGCGGGCGACGCCACTAGATCCATACTGGTTGAATCAGATCCCAATCTGACTGTTGGAGCACTAGACAAAGGCTTAGAAGAAGCCTCCTTTACAACATTGACATATGCCGTGGATGCTTCCCCAACAGGATCCATGGGAGTAGCAAACCCGACATCCTGAACAGAACCACCAGACTGAACAACAACTGACTGAACATCCTTCACAGAATTACCAGACTGAACAACAACCAACTGAGAATCCTGCTTAGGAACACTAGACTGAACAACAACCGACTTGACTTCCTGCACAGACCCGCCAGACTGATAGACAACCAACTGAGAATCCTGCTTTGGATCTCCAGACTGAACAACAACCGACTGAACATCCTGCACAGGAGCACCAGACTGAACAACAACCATCTGAGTATCCTGCGTATAATCAACAGACTGATCAGCAGCCGATTGACCATCTTGCACAGAGTCACCGGATTGAACAACAACCGATTGAACACCATCCTGAGCCTTCAGAACAGAACCATCCAGAGATACATCTTCCTTGCTCGTTGGAACAGCAGGGACATTCGGGCTTTGAGACTTCTTAACCCAACATTGAGTGCTAACCGAAGCATTTTTCAAAGACTCCTTGACTTTTCCTATTCTTACATCAGCACCTTTCGGGCATAGAGCTTCTTTATGACCGATTTCCTCACAAATTGAACAGAAGGGAGGCAGCCATGGGTAAGAAATAGAAAGAATTACAACCTCGCCATCCTCTCTTTCAATCTCCATCGAATCAGGGAGTTTCTGGGTTAAATCTGCTATAACTTTAATTTCAGTAGAATTGAAGCTTAAGAAAGGCTTGACATCAACCACTACACCAAGCGGTTTTGCGATAAAGCTCATACCTTCATCTGTCACCAGGTTATGAATCTTTGCCCAGATGGGAGCCCGATGAAGAGAGGGAGAATCCAGGCTAAAGGAAGCCTTCCATTCGGTGACAAAGAAAGGGGAGTCTCCCACTCGCCATAACTCATGTTGGAGGACCTTTCTTCTCAACGCCGCCGATGGAATATAGAAAAGGAAAGCATTTGAAGAGAGGTTCTGAATAGTGACTTTCCTGTCCTTTCCCCAAAGGAAATTTAGGACCCCTCATATCTTACCATGAGAGGGAGGTTTGCCATAGAAGATACCCACTATGAAATCCGAATGGAGGGACGCTCCCCTTTCAAAAACTGCGTTTGGGACTTTAACCCTAGGTCTGCCAGCCTCATAGACAATAACCGGCACAGAGGATTGCTTGATCTTACAAGAAGAATGAAGACTCTTTGCCCACTTAAACTCGCTACTACCCGCCATGCCCTTTTGCTTATCAGAGACCGAGGTCGCAGGTGCCAGAGGGGTAGAAATGACCACCGATTGAGGAGGTGGTGATAACACCGTATTTTGACCACTTTTATGGATCGTTTTGAAATACTTTTTCTATGTTTTTAATTGCTTTTAAGTACTTTTATTACGTTTTCTAGTATTTGTAGTTTCAAGACTCTTTTCAGGAAACTTAGGGAAAAGCTTAACAAAATGGATAGAAAACCAGATTTCAGCTCAGAGTCAAACCGTCAGAAGTTCACCCCTGATTGAAGGCCTTCTCACCGTCTGATCCAGCTCAAATTTGGAGACCTTAAAGATGATAGTATAAGTTTTCCAGTGCACTTTACAGCTTGGCAATCCAACGGTTCAATCAAAAGATACGCGAAGAGCAAGATGTCCGGTAAACCAGGCGGCGAGCACTTCCACCCGCGGCCAACAAGCGTTTTCCCGCGGTCAGGAGCATCCCGACCGCGGCAAACCACTCATCCACCGCGGTCACACTTGTCCCGACCGCGGCCTTCAACCTCCGAGCCCAAAAAGCCCATTTCTGAAGCCCACATTTGGAGAAACCCTAAGTGACGTCTAAAGAAGTCTTGAGCACTATAAATACATGTCTTAGGAGCCCTAGAAATCGTGTAACCTTAGAGAACCGAATTATTTACTTCATACTTTCATTGTTTTTGCTTTAGCTTTTAGGGAGAGAGAGATTTGTTTTCTTGAACCCTTGTTCTTTCTTTATCAATTTCGGTTTCTATTCTACTTCTTAATATTATGTCTTTGATTTCGTTCATTATGTCTGAGTAGTTTTATTGTTGGGATTAAGGGATTTTCGATGGGGATATATATGTTCGGTGAGGATTCCATTGGCTATTGAGCTGAATCTTAGAACTTTTTCTTCTGAATTCGTTTTTACTGCATGAGGGTAGCGTCATGAACTACAATCTGATCCAGATGCTTGGTGATACGAAAGTGTTCATCAGGTATCAGATCTAGTTTGGGAGAGCAAAACAAACATAGGAGTGGAAACCTACCTATGGGCGATTTGTGAATTAGGACGAGTCTTAAACATAATGCATCTCTTCTCTTCCAGGGCCAGAGTGGAAACCTACTGGTCAGGGTTGAGAGAGATAGTTGTCTATGATCACGACAGTGGCGTATTCATACGTCCGTGACTCCAGTTCGAAAAGTTTAAGCTAAGATCTTATCAATTTACTCTCTAGCAATGTTTTGAATCGTTCGTACCCCTGAGAAAACTTCCCTGAACCCCAACGCTTTCTTCTCCATTGTTTTACACCGATTTTCTTTAAGCTTTAATTCAATATTGTCTTTCCTTTTTAGTTCATTTTCATTTAAGCATTAGAATATCCGTTTTTATTATTTTTAGTTATTTTCGTTAAGTTTAGTTATTACGCCATTTAATTTCTGTATTCTCTTTAAGATTTCGTTTTTAGATTTTAAACACACTACCAAACCTCCACAAAACCGTTTTTGTTCTAGACTTCCTTACTTTAACTTATTTCAAAGGCTTTTTACAGGAAAAGATCCTCATTCCCTGTGGATTCAATCCCTAAGTACTACAATTGATCAGCTGTGCACTTGCAGCTATTGATTTCAATTAGGATAAAACTTGACAACCCTCGACACACCACAACACATCAAGTTTTTGGCGCCGTTGCCGGGGAAGGCACGCGTTTTCTTTTCTGCAAAACCCCGAGAAAGGTTAGTAAATCGATTCTAGAACCCCCTTTTCTGCAACTTTCCATTTTTCGGTTATTTTGTTTCCATTTCAGAAGATATGGATCCTATAAATCGAAATAAACAAAATGACGAAGGTTTCTATAACACTTCTCAAGCCACCAGACGCAGAGAAGAACACCAAGTCCGAAATCCTAGCTACATGGATCGATACAGCCAGCCAAACCACCCTTACCACCGGCGCAGAGAGACTGTTCGACGCCGGGAAGATCCTTATGGCCCTCCTCCGACCTACTTCGAGCCACACGCCTATAATCCTCCACTTCAGAACCCTAGTCAGCAAGAGGACAACTTGAGGATCAGCAGACGTTTGGGACGCCTCGAAGGAATGATAAACCAATTCCTTGATCAGCAGATTCTCGCCGAAAACACCCTGCTCAAGAAAATTGATTCAATCTCTGAAGAGTTCAACAGAAAATTCGATGATATGGCCAACCATATTCGAGTTTTGGAAGAGCAAACCCACAAGGACTCACAAGCACTAGCTGGGATGATCCACCAAGTTGCAACAGAGCAGACAAGACAAGGGTATGACATCATACAAAACTCAAGTGATATTGTTGAATCAAAACAGGAGATTAAAGAAGTCAGAGAGTCCACCTCCTGGTATAGAGAGAAGACAGACGAAGAGTTGCAAGATATCGAGCACATGCTGAACAAACTCGAGATCAAAGCATGGGAGATTGATGCAAGAATGGAGCAGATGCCCAACATTGAGCAATTTGAGTGATTTTCTAAGAAATCTCCCAAAGATCCTGATGAAGATGCACATCAACGCCCTGGTATGAG